TACTGTGTATCTGTTGTATACCTAAAAACATGGTTTTAAATGACTAGTAAATTACTTAAATGCTAAAAAGGAATTATGTAACAGTTTATTATAATATCTTTGCGGATGAACGCTTTGAAAATTTAGCAAAAATGTACAGTTTATAGTGGTTGACCATCAGATTTTCTGTAATAAATTGATGAAATCTACAGTTTTCAGTGTACACTTAAAATACGAAATTCATTTATCTTGAAAGATGATACTTGCAGACCTCTTTTGATTCATCCTTGCAATTTTCTTTGTCAAGAAAAGAGACATTTTCTGGGAAAAAAAAAAATTCTGGACATTCAATTCCACTACTGAAAAAATGCAATTGAAAACTAATTTAAATCATCCTCGGACTTTTCAGTAAAAATTTTATGTTTCAACAGCCTCATGCTGTTGGGAAAAACAGTCTTCTATGTTGGCTCTCTGACACTAGCATGTCAAATAATTATGTATAATCTTATTTGCAACAGTACATTGAATATAAATTTCTTAAATTTATTTGATGGTTGAAAAATCTCAACCATTGCTGAAGTTTTTACCTTAACAATTCTGAGATTTATTCACTCTGTCATTTGCATATACATTGCCTGATAAAGATGACTAATGGAAACTAATGGTAGCTGCACTTTCCATAGAATCCAACCTGGAAATGAAATGCGATTCCCACAGACTCGCCAGGTGCTCAGGACCTTTGCTTAATCCAGGCCCACAAATCTTCTCTCTTCTCAGAGGCTTCCCGTTTCTTGTTTTTTTTTTCACCATCCTTTAGTATACGGAAAAAAGAAGACAGACCAGAAAGCTTGTCAGTATTACTCATCAATCCAAAAAAAAAGCAGAAGCGTGACACATACGTGACATAGCCACCATGGAAAGCAAAGTCATTGCACATAAAAGAAAGAGGCCATCACAGCCTTCCTAGTCAATCACCCTTGTACAAAGGACAGTTTCGAAAGACTATATTAACATTACATAGAACTGTAAGAAATTGTGAAGGTAACCCGCAGATATTGCAGTTAGTAGGAATAGCATATATAGATATTTTGTTATCAAGGTATTAAATTCATATATGACTACACTAACCAGCATATTTTAGTTTGTTTTATCAGACATTTACAAGATAAACAAGATAATCAAGAACAAAGGACTGTTCACCAGTTTTGAACCAAAAAGACCAATATCAAATTCCACACGAATAAATATGGAACTTTGCATAAATGAAAAGAAAACGCATAAAACTTCCCTTCGCTGAATTATGATATAGATTCGGGTTTTTATTTGAACTACATATTTTTTTGACATTTCCCATTATCAAAAGCCATAATACTAAATGCAAAAACTATCAAACTCTGGTTTTATGTTGCTGTAAAGATATATAAAAAAAGTACCAGACAAACAATAGTACATCTTTTCGTTTAGGAGAAATACCAACGCGCAACGACCATGATATTTTCTGACGCTGATGCTGTGGTTTCACTTCTGTTTCTGTCCACATCATATTTTACCTCTGTTGCCTTTTTTTTTTTTAAGATCATTTAATCATTAAGGCCATGGTAGAAACGGCGTAGTTTGAGTGGTGTAATAATTCCACTCTCTCGAATCTACGATCTAAGACCGGAAGAATATATGCACACACGCAATACATAAATATAATATTTAAATGCAATACACAACGCATATGTGTGGACATATATCATATGTATGTAGTATGATATATATATAATAATATATATTATATATATATATATATTATATATATTATATATTCAGATATGTATGTCTAACAGATATATATTTTGGTATATATATATATATATATTTTTTAAATATATATTATATATACTTTATGTATTATATAATATTTTTATGTATCTATATTGTATTATGACACCACACACACACACACACACACACACACCACACACACACACACACACACACACACACACACACACACACACACACACACACACGTTACTAGGAATTAGGATCACCAAACCCATCAGCCGTAATATTAATTTATTGGAGAAAATTGTGACCCTACAATAGTCAAAAATATATAAGAAAGGAACTTTTAATGAACATCACTCAAATGCACATAAATATACAATTATATAAGCTGACATATAAAAGGGAGCACTGAAAGCTCAATGCACATTTCCACACTGCAATAATATAGAGTGCTTTCACAGTGTAATACATCTTTGATGTATCACCAGCAATGCTATCTACGTCTAAATCTAAACAAAATTTTCAGTACTCCATTTAGGATAAACTGGTCCCTTTCCCCGAAAATGCATGAGTTTCTGTCCCATTATGAGACCGAAGAATTGAAGCAAGGCGCAAATGTGTTGAATATAGATTTGATTTTAAAACTTCATGGTGATGTATATGATAAAATAGACTTTATAGGTACACTTTTTTTTTTTTTTTTTTTTTTTTTTTACTTAATTTCTGCTACCCCTCAATCAATCATGTCTTCGATTTGATTCTGATACTTCAATATCCAGTTTCATCAAAGCTGTTTTCAGTTGTTTTCAACTCGCAACGTACTTTAAGATAAGATAATATCACCAGTTTTTTTTTTTATCCAGGGAAAAGTCTTGACCTAGTGTTTCTGTTCAGCACTATAAATTAATCTTCTCTCAATTTCGCGCCAGAACCTCTTTCTTCTGTTAAAACGAATACGACTGGATGTGGGACAACCTTGAACATACATTTGATCCACTGCGGATTACAATTTACACTATTTACTCGATGGCAAAAATGGTCCCGCCGGTCATCAGCTCATCAAAAGCGTTCTGGTAAGTTTGAATGGCGAACAATACATTGCATCCATGAGTGCAGTCCTACATGTTAAATACGGGGATCAGGTAATGGTTGGTCTAAGTCGCCTAGCCACGAATTTTTAAAGTGTACGGTTCTGTTGAAGGAAATTTGGGTTATAAAGTGAACGAATAAGTGAAAAAAAAATAGTAACGGCTTTTGTGAGCCGGGAAGGGAAGTGAGAGCGAAGGAGAGGGAGGCGAGAAGTGACCACGAATATCTTGGCATGGTAAGCGTTTTCGCCACGAGAGAAACTGCCGTGAATTCAGCTTTATATTTGTGTTATGGCTAACTATTCAACACCAAAAAAAATGAAGCTAATGGAAGCAGAGAATAGAATTTGCAAATTGATGTCACATGGGGCATTAAATCATGGAAATAGAACGTAAACCTCTGCATTCAATGAGACGGTGTTCTATGATGATCCTCTTTACATCAGGAAGAAAAGAGAAAAATCTACAAAACAGATAAAATAGATAGCCGGTGATGACAAATTGTTCTTTCCGCAAGGCAAAAGTCTACGGGGACTTTACCTCGAGGCAGTATCTAGTTATTTATATATTGATTTATTGATATATTTATTCATTCTTTTACAATGTGTATTTTTTTTCTATTTTACTAATATAGTCAAAGTATAGATTAAAATACAATATAGAAACCTAAAATGCAACAGTGAAGCGCATGACATCTCCATTACAAACAACTAATGAAATAACAACAACATAAACCAGGTTAAATCGGATTGTGTAAAATATACGTTACAACCAGCGATATATACTATTCCCACCAGCGTTCACTTGTATGGATTAATCATTATGCCACAGTAACGAAGGACATTGGCTATCGCAGTGGTCAAAAAAACATCCCCAGTTGAAGTGGTTTCTTATATTCGTATGTATATGAAGAGAACT